TCTAATTTTCCTCTTAAAAGGAAAAAACTTCTATACAAGTCATCAAAAGAATGCCCCTAGCACTTTTATAAGTGCTAAATTGAACTAGCCTAGAATCTCTTCCAAAAGCATTTGGATAAGGTTACAGAAAGCTCACATAAGACTTAGGGGAGAATAAAAAGTTTCTCCTAGAGATACCACAACATAATGAAATTTTGGCTTATTAAGGCCTTATTTGATTATATGTAGAAGAATCCTCATTCATTGAGCATCAGATGAGAATAAGGTCGATATGGCCCTTGATATAAATGAATACGGACTGAAATAAGTAATTGGACGATTTTTTCAAGCGCTGATGGAGAAGTCTCATATGGCTCTAGCGACAGTTGAAGAAGAATATGAGGCACGAGTACAGCCAGCGAAGACGCCTTCTTAACTCTATGAAATCGAAAATTAGCTACTTCATCGGTAGTACTCCTAGTTGTGTTATTTTATATAAGTCAACTTTGACTAATGTAATTATTTTAAAGAATTCAAGAAATGATGTAAATCTCAGATATTTACCATAATTAGAGAATAGCTTGTTTGAAGAATTTTGTTTTAATGCAATCCTTTCGCGACAGCTTTTCACAGCGGAATTTTAAATGATTCGAGGTCAATCAAATGAAGAAAAAATATCAAGCTACCGAGGAAATTGTTCTATCTTTTTGCTAAAATTGCATCCTGTTACAAGTATCATTAATCGATATCAGCAGAGACAAGTTCGATTTATCATTCTCTATATGTTGCTTCACTTTATTCTGAATATATTGGTGGTCAGACAGCTTGAATCAAGACCCTATATGCAGATATTGCATAATATTGTTATCGAATCGCTAGCTTGTTGAATGCTAGCATTAGTTTAGGAATAAGGGCTAGTGTTTAGAAGGAAAAGCTTTAAATGCAAATAAGGTTCACCATATTTGACTTTTATCATCGAGCATTGTTGAGCAACTAATAAAATGCATTAAAAGCTTTTATATATTTGAATACTTCAATTTAGGAGATCCTAGATTAACATTATTCGCGAGTCTAGTCCTTGCAAGCAAGTTGCTTAAGGATAGTATCAGACATGGTTTATTCAGCATTCCGAAGCGCTTTCTGGCCAGATATTTGTTCTCTACGCAGAGGCTGTACGGATTTCTATGACTTTAACATAAATCACAGGGAATTATATTTAAAATTCTACCAAAAAGACCTATCAAAAAGGCATTTATCGGCTTTAACATACCTTCTATCGTTTGGCCATTCATCTGCTTAGCCTCTTCATCAAGCGAGTAATGCGAAACCACCAAACTTGGCATTCGCCATTTGTCCCAAGGGCCAGGAACACCTGAATCCGGTGGATTATTTGGATCATTGACATCAACCTCAACTATGTAATAATTCGCTTCTAGACCAATTATCTTCCCCCAAAAGCGCAGCTTCTCTACGTTTGGCAGTAGTTGGGCCAAATGGCGAATAGCTAACCAAATAAGAAGCAGCTCAGATTGTGGGATACCTGGTATGAATCAATAAGCATGTTGGTAGGATTAAGTGAAATAAGGTGGAACATAAAAGCTGAAAAAATGTGAGTATAAAATGACTTGGATTTTATAAATAATAGGTTATATAATGGAAATACATTTAACTTCACCATTAATCTTTTAATATAATATAGAGTAGAGTATCAATGATAATTAAGCACATTATAAGCAGAATCAGTTTGATCGAATTGCAATAAGGATTTAACCTAAAATAATTAAAACCAAATGATATAATTTCTTCTTTTTGAATCGCATGATTATAGAAGCTTTATGGCAGCTGAAATTATTTGAATAGCTGCTTTCGACCAAGGCTAGAAAATTAAATCGAGAATATTCATAAGGAAAGTCGGATATTTGAGTAAACTTAATTAACATGAGATGTATTCACCCTATTTTGTTAAGGGTGAATACATCTCATATTACTGATTAACTAATAGTCTCGAGACTCTACTTAAATACGAAAAATGGTACGTTTTAGCTGCTCCTATTCTGTCTTGAATCCTTAGTTTAAGCACCTCGCGACTGAATTCTTCGATCGGCTTCTAGGCGTTGACGATTGCTTCCTTAAATTATATTTGGCTTCATTTTTAACTGAAGCTACTTTAAATCATTCTGGAAATGAAGTAATTTGAGATTCCAACCTGTCTTGTATCATATATGGATGTAATATCGCAATAATCCAACATATTTTAAGCCAAAATTGGATATAGTTCATGTCGAGATTAGTCGAATTATGTCAATAAAATATTTCTCGACCTCCTACAAGTTATCCCTAATTTTCCATTTTCTTTTGTCGCATGTATAATAAATTTAGTAAATTTAATTTTGATCAATTAATGCCAAACCTAAATATTATCGGCTATTCTCTTAGCAGGAATGAAAAATATTTAAAGATAATTTAAATCCGATCTTTTCTTTCTTAATTTCGTATATTTATTTTAATCACCATTATATAAATCTTCGGGAGACTAATTGATAACAAGATATTCTAGCCTGAGAATAATTATTACAGACAAAGTATAGTCTAGGTTACTAACGATCTGTGTATCAAATTAAATTAGGTTGAAATGTATTAGTAGTGATTATAATATTTAATGTAAATTTTCAACCATTATAATAAATTAAAGTTTCGAAAAACTTCACTTGTCTCATACTATTTTCAGGGTAATTAATACTTTTATCAAT